TATATATACATCCTTTATATACAACATTTCTATGATCTATTTTTATTAGGCTCTAGATAGCTACGCGATATAACTTAGCTCTACGGGTCCACAGCTTATTACCGATAGCTCCCGGCAAAAGGCTGTCTAAGCATGTAGTACGTATTAAGATCCAAAGTTTCCGCGATATGAGTCACCTCAAACAATTTAAAGACGTAGAATTGACGAAGTAGAACCCCTCTCTAAAAGCAGGCCGCTTTTACATGACGTTCTTTCGAACTTTTCAGCAACGGCGACCCGATGTGTGAATCAACGATTGTTCTACCGCGGCCCAAACGACGGTCATCTGTCCAAGTGGAAAAAGCTCTTGTTGAGAAGGTATTATATAATAGATATGGAAAAACATGTAATTGAGCTAAATTTGATCGCCACTAAAATGTATCACTGCGTATTAAACGTACAATCTCTGTAATTTTTGGTTAATCAGACCATTGTCAGCAGGCAAGTTTTAGTCTTCCTTGATGATGAGGATTTAAGCGAAACGTGGGCAAAATTGGTGGCTAGCCCTTAGTCTCGTTCCATAATGTCGAAGAGAATTAAACTTGAAGACATACATAGGTATCACCATAATCTACAAACGCTTTTCGTTCGCTAAATAATATGTATCTGTTAAAAGATAGAGTATATAGCAAGCGGCTTCACTAGCGGCAGATAGATAGCGCCAAGAGTATGACTTTTAATACATAACATTCATCAAAAGACTCTCTTACAAGCCGTAACTTATATATGAAAATATTGATGAATGCGGGCTTTAATGAGATCTTACAAGCTCGCTACGATATTAGAGAAAACAGTATTTCGGATAGAATCCACTATAGGCTCGTTCACGATGTTATTTCAACACGTTTTCACGGTCAGTGTTTCGAGGGTCTCTAGCCTAAAACAAGCGATTTTTCTATATTCGTTTTCAACATTAGACCAGCTTACGTATTCCTAGCTTTCGTAATCAAACGCGTTATTAAAATTAGCGATTTTTTCTTCAGTTGCGGTAAGGATAACTGTTCCTACGCAGTACGTTGACGTAACGCGAGTAACGTTTTTATAGACTGCTTTAGAAAACACAGGCTCCCTAAACATGTCTTTTAGAACTACTTAAAATTAACAGTACGTACATATTGCTGAACCGACATGATGTAAGCATACGTGCAGTGAAACGAGTCTTTTTACATTCAGATAAATCTATATAACTAATTGAACTTTTCGTAGGCAGATCATCAGCTCTATATGGTCTTTAGGCGAACTGGTCGAATATCTGTTAAGTCTCGCGGCAACGCAGTTTAGCTAAACAGTTTGTTGCGTTGTATCTCCTTGTCAAGCCAAGCACACAGATAAGACCTGCACATAAAAACAACCTAACCTTCTGATCACCTAACATCTGTTTGTACACAGCACGTGGGTGTTTGGGAGATGATAAAAGGGTCTATTGTTTTGTACAGATCTGGCCAGGTATTAGATGTATGACATGATAGAACTTGCTGAAACGGTGTGTTGTTTACGGCCTTCGTTTGATAAAATCTGTTCTAACATTTTTAGAGAAAATGCTTTTGTTTGTATGAAAAACGCAGTACTTTCGTTTACTTTTTAAAGTCGCTTAAAAGCTCGTGTCGCTGATAGTCACTTGAAATTCTGCCTGGGCAGAATTTCGAGTGACTATCAGCTCAGGTCAGGTCAGGTATCAGCTCAGATCAGGTGACTATCAGAATTTCAAGGCCTTGTCATTCGGAAGCTTTTCTTCTACAGTGGCCAGCCATCGATAATGCTATTTCAGCGAAAAGCAAACCTAGAATCTTGAACATATCGAATAGGGTTTTTACGTCAGCGCGAAATCTTCAACCGGATAACGGTAACTGCAGAGTTGGGCCCACGTACAAACTGCATAATGGATAAAGGTCAAAACGTAAGGTTTGCAATAAAAAACTGATTTCTGAAGACGTCACACCGCTAAAAGGTTTATGTTGATTTTAAAACGCTGTTGTTAAGGTTATGTATACGTATATCTCTACGCTGTATGTGTACTGTCGGACTACTACCGTCAATGACCGTAAATTAATGATATTCAGTATCACTGTTAAACGTATTCGATGTCAAACGTTTATGCGATGAAGAACTACACGCTTAACCGGACAGTGGAGTATGGCTTAAACGAGATGCATGGCCTAAGCTTGTAGATTACAGTATCTAGCCTTCATAGAATTTTGCTGGGTTGTTGGGTAGCGGAGATAAAGCCGATAGAATTACGCTTCAAGACGGATCTTGCTATGAAAGACATCTGTTGTTTTTCCTTTGTTTCAGGGTAGACCATTGAAACTCTCCGACCGTCTTAGTAATAATCTTACAAACTTCAATAAACAATGCGCAATACTACAGTTTACCTTAGAACCGTCAATAACACTTGGGCTCGCGGGCTATTAATAAAACGGTGGGGAGTCATAACGATAGGACGCCTCCTGACTCTGCTCTACGGGTCGTTATCATTTTAGCTAAGCAGCAAATGCAGGATATCTAAAGAGCCGAGTTATGGCCTATACTTTGTATACTCTTACACGCTGGACGTAGGACTAGGTCCAAGTTGATATCGTGCAGGCATCCCGTTTTATCTCTAATTGGGCAAAGGTCCAGAAGCTGAATTCAGCTTCCGCCATCCCTATGTACAAGAAACTGCATTAAATGCTAAGCGCATAATGCATAACGTTACCTACATATATATTCAATATGTTTTTTATATCCGGATGGTCAACGGTGAATGCGAAAATCCTGCGAACTCTTTATTTTTCTGTTTGTTAACTTCTGGGAATGATTTTGGCCAACGCTAAAATTTCGACCAGCAGGGCTGTATTGCCCTCAGCTAATAGTGGCTATGGAAACACATGATTCAAGGAGATGGCCATTCAATTATCGGCGAAACTGTGTCCGTTACCAGCGCAATGACATGAAGTTCTGCCATAAGTTGATGCATCTATACGTATATATATATATATGAGGTTGTTCAGCGTGAAACGTGACGAACGTTAATCTCATACTTCAACATGACGCTGTTCTTTAACGGTCTACATTTTTTCTTTGTTTTCATATTTGACACGCATTTGCACTCTTTGAGATCTGAAACGTTCCAGTCAAATATCGCCACGCGAGCGCTCAACAGGCGACTTGAAGTGGGCCGTAGAGAATCGAAGGGATTCGACCAAATTCGATTTCGGAGCCACAAGGGGCAGAGACAGCTCGCCGTATAAACGTTATGTACGGTGAAGTTTTTGGAAAAGCGTGAGCCGTCGCCCGGAACAAAGGAGTTTGGTGGTAGAGCCTGTACGAAAAAGAGGAATAACTTTTATTGAGAAATGTTAAGAATGAAAGCTGTGGTGGAAATTGATCTATCTCAAAGTGTACACGAGCTAAACACGTTCAAGTTATGGGCGTTATTTTTGAGTATAGTAAAAAAATTGAAAAAGTAGGTATCGCGTGATTTAAGCGAAGATAAGATACCTGTGCCTCTGTTTGCGGTTCATGTTATAGCGGCAATTCATTCTCCCATCGAATTGCGATTTATAAGGAAAAAGGCTTTCTCCATGATAATCGCAGTGAATCAGCAGGACATCAGTCTCAAGCAAATGTAGAACTGCAAAAACTTATACTATCTGTCTAATGCAGGTATTATCGATATAACAGCTTCTTCGCTAGTTGTTTATCGATTACGGCTGAAGTATACCATAGAAATAATAGATGAAAAATTTTGCATAGAAATAGAAGTAAACCCCTCCTTCTGCACGACCTTACACCGCAAGAGTCGCCGTGCCAAAAATGCACGGGTTACAGTCGGGGCTTGTTTGTTATATGTATATATATGGCGACCATATTCGCCATTTATTGCTGCCACAAATTACCTCTTTTTCTTAAAAACCCCGACGATCAAACGGCAAAGAGTCATATACAATGTTGCATAGTTCGAATGAAAAGAAAAACCTAAATTTATGGGAAGAGTCCGAAGAATTGAGGTCCACTCTGTTACGTTTCGCACTGAACAACCCAATATGTATATATATACATATGTATACATATATATACATAATCTAGCGTGATTGGTTCTTGCTTCTGCCCGGTATATTGTAGATAAGCGGATCCTCAACAAAGCTAAGGTTAACATGGGATCGAACGTTAAATATAATTGTTCCATTATATGTAACTTTTCGCAGGTATGTCTAACGATTCGAAAGCCCAACGATGACGAAGACGGGTCATCTAATACGTCCACATCGGCGAGGTCGCCAAAAATTAAAGAAAACGAAAAGCCTGAGGCGGGTCGCCTTCAAAAGCTCAAAGGTAAACAGCGCCGCCTGTATAATACAGTATTTTCAATGGAAATCAGCTGAAATATTAAAGTGTTGCCTGCGATGCGTAAGTTAGATACGTTAAATAATAGTCGAAAAACAACATTTTTAGGATAGAACAACAGTAACTCTAAGGAGTAAGCCTATTACCTACGCCAGTGTTAAATCTTTCGATGGCTACAATGAACGATATGATCTGTAAATCAATCGATCTCCATCGCTTGTTATCGTTAGATCGGCTAGGCTTCTAGAGTCTAATTATTCGGCCGTTAGTAGGTCAAAGGTTGTCAATAGAGACGAAAGATAAATTCAAATTCCAACGCAAGACATGCCAATGTAACTCGAAAAGCCAATAGAGACAGAGGAAATAAAGGCAATTTCAAGAAACGAGCCTAGCGTCTTGTTTACTTATCCATACGATTTGTTATTGCTATGAAGGCTGCTCAATACGGTCATGTTTCTAATGTAAGCTGAATTAATAAATGTTATTAAGGTAATCCAATTAAAGGGAGATAGGCAATAGGACGTGTCGTAAAAACGGGTACCGTTTGTCGTACTGCTGGTATTGTTGCGTATTTATTAACATTGTCGCTCTCAGCATCATCTCTGTAATCATCGATGTTGGTCGCTATCTGGCATCAGTCGCCACGAGCGATATAAACCGAGCTCATGATAGTTGTCAATGTACCATTTGCCAGCTAAAACGTTAAGAGATGTTAGGCAAAGGGCATCTACACTGTTTAAGCCCTATCATCGTCTTGATATCTAACAGAACGTGTTAACTGTGTAAAGCTGTTCCGTCCATTGTTGTCCATGAGGGGCCGATGAGGCGTGAACGTTTGGAGACGTCTGGCTTCTGTGTATCGACAGATGAATGCACTAAAAAATAAAGGGTTGATTCTGAGATTTGCTGGATGTTGGCCGGTGACCGATACTTATAGGCGATATTTGAACCAGTATCATTTTCGTTCGTTTAATACGCATTCAGGCGCTGTGAAAGCTACGGGTGTCTCAGCAATATGGCAGAAAACGTTATAACTCTAATTCAAGCAAAGTGCTAATTCAATTTGACGTTTACTCTTCAGACAGGTTGTGTATTGTTTTTCTTAGTGGGTGTCGCCCTCGGAAGATTGTGTGGGCGGCAGCCAGTTGCATGGCTCTGTCCTATTATACGTAGGATTGCTGGCAGATAAAACGGTGAGAGTGAGGCAACCTACTGCCATTGGCGCACACGTGAACCTATCTGTTTTACCAGGCTCCGGGATCGTGCCGTGCCAATGGACAGTAAATTCACTCGACGAATCCCAGCTGTGAGTTCCGTTCAAATGTACATACAAAAGCGAAGAAACTAAAATAGCTCCGGTGAACTAAAAAATCGTGATATCATTGGCGTACTTTAGATTTGAAGCAAGTTACAAAAGGACTAATTTTAAACTTTTTGCAAACGAGCGGTGACAGAAAGTGATTCGATACTGTGCTTTTTCCGTCACGTTTAATCCGTAACGATAGGGAGTATATGCAAGACTCTGTTAAACGTTTTTCGTAACGGAAAGGTCTAGATAGACGCTCAACCTGTTAGCTGTGTGAAACTGAGCGTGGAAGCCAGCTATCTGCGGCAATGCTTAACGGCATTGTCGGGCGTAAAACTCGTAACATTTGTTTATTAGCTGTCGTTTCATACGTTCATGGACCACAGTGGCAATAATCCAGCCTGAGATAACATCTCTTGTTACGACAATTCGATCCGTGCAATACTGAACATAGATCAACACGTTCAAAAATAGGTACCCGTCAATTACGCTCGCGGCCTAAATCTGTGTGGTGTAATAACAAGCCCAGTTTTATTAAAGCTAACCATATTGCTAAAAAACACAAAGACACCACTAGCGCCCTTTGATTAGCCTGATATGAACAGCATCTCGTTATGGGCGCTCGAGTGAGCACTTCCAGCGGTTTTCCGACTTCCTGTCGCCTTCTTCGCCGAGGCAGCCTTGGCCTCAGGCAAAGACAAGGTTAGTGTTATCTGTTCGTTACGTAATATCTGAAATCGACATCATGCCACGCTGCCATGCTTCTTCTAGTTAAACAGTTGCCCTCGAAGTGCTGATAACAGCGATATATTACACTTGAAGCCGCTTGGTGGCGCCATTCGAACTGTTTCGACGGCCCATTGGTACACGCATACGTATATATATATATATATATATATATATATATATATATATATATATATATATATTCAAATGTATCTACTTTTGCCGTTTTAAGCACAGGAATATATTTACTTAAGTTCGATCTTTAAGATTAAGTAGAAACAACACTTTTTTTTTTTTGAACCAATGAATAACGACAAAAGTTTAGCGTATAATTAAAGTTATAAATCAATGTAAGATTCTGTTTTTCTATATTAAACAGTTTTAAGTCGTTACAATAGAAGACCCAGATTAGCTCAGATTCACTAGCCCAGTAGAGCGCGGTAAACTGCTCTCCGACGCAAAAATTGCTTTGCCGTTATGTTAACTTCTTACAGAACAATTTCGTAACTAACTAACCAACCTAATCATTTATTACCGAAGCCAGAAGAAATTATGTAACGCGCCCATAATGATAAAATCTTGAGCAAATACTGTTTTAAGGCAACGCACTGTAGAGGTCGCGCGTACCATCACTAGTTTATGAAACGTTTATGACGGAAGTCATGCTTGCTTCCATTAACTACTTTATCCTGTTTAAATTTTTCGAAACATATTTCAAATGTTCACTTGAAACTTACGTTTTTAGTATAAAATCTTACGCGAACTCGCAATATAGCTTTCATTGCTCGATGAAGGAATAGCCTTCCCAGTAGTCTTTGTTGACGTTGAAAAAGCGTTTAACACCATCTCGCGTAATCATTCATGTCGTACTTGACGTATCGCTTCTTACGTGTACACGTAGGTAGGTTATGCACGTAGGTAGAACTATTTAGTAAAATAATAAGCTTCATAAAGTTCAATCCTCGTTTCCTATACTTCTTCTACACCTCGAAAAAAAAAACAGCTTGCATGGCGTCTACCTTCTCGACGGTCTCACGATTCACAAATCATCCTGAAACGGTGATATAATGTCCACCATTAAAACTACCTGTGATACACTTGAGTTTTCCGTTAACATTTCCGATGTTCCATTAACGTACCGAGCAACTCAATGGAACGAACGAGGCTCATTCGCGAATCGTCAAAACTTAACATTTAGCCAAGGATTATTGCCTTGAAGTATGCCCGAAATGCTTACGTTTTCGAGTCAGAAGGTTGACCATAACACGTCCTTTTTTTTTATTTTTATGTATTCCTTGTTGAACTGATAGTTACGTGCACAGCTGTCGTTTGGAAGTAAAAATTTTTTAGCACTTAAATATAGTGTCAACTGTCCAAGGTGACGTCATTTTAACTATCTTTAAACTGTCAGAATCCCTTCTACAGTAAAGTACGTTCTGACTCTGTTGCCATATTCGTCCGTCACGAACTAACCCACATCTGATCTATACCTTTCTAGATAGTTTGTTAGAAATACTTCAGTCAAACTATCCAGCCAACTCCCCGAGTCACAGATTATCCCGAGTTATTGTAACAGATATATTCGGGACTACTTAGCATTTTATATGGGTAGCATCAAAAGCTACAAGGTGCACTCCTCAGTTACTAAGGTATTTAGGTTATACATATATATATATATATAAGGCTTATTAGGCACCGCTTGTAATTGTTTGGTATCAATGCTATTTTTGTAGTCGTGACTACAAAGAGATTGTCATGTAATTCTTGGTTAATCTCAGTCTCTTCAAACTCTCCTTCTTATTGTTACCTTTTGAACCAGAATATGTTTTTATTAATTGAATGCTGACAAAGCTTTGGCAAGACATGTCGATTTAGCTGGCATGCCCTTACACGCTCACAGTCATCACAAGTCATAGCTCAAGTCACACACATCTTTGTAAAGGCACAGCCAATTTCATACAGCTCCTACTTCGGCGGTTCGACATAGTCTAGGGGTTCTGAAACGTAATGAGCCACTACGCTCAGTAGGATACGACACAATTGAAGCAAGTTTATCTGTATGGATTTAACGAAGACAGAAAAAAGATTTTTTTCGTTTATTTTTTTTTGCATTGCAGAATTGCGTACAGCATTCAGTATGCTAGACGCTAATCATGACGGGCGGGTATCACTAGAAGAACTGGAAGATATGCTGTGCAGAATGGGATTCAACATCCCGCACGAGACGCTCGACTTGCTGCTGCAAGACAAGGCAACGTCACCTGAAGGACAGGTATTCGGGCCTAACAAACGTGAAGCTATTCTATGATATTATTAACTCATACGGTTGAATTGTCTGCATATGGTATAGACTAGCAACCGATTTTAGCTCTGTAGACGATAAATTATCTATTGCGAAATGAACGGTTTTGCATGTTCCACTTTCCTTTAGATATATGAACCAAATCGGTATCAGTATTTATAGTTTATTTCTATAGTAGCGAGGCTAATCAGTTAAAATAAGAGTCTAAAGTTCTTTTCAATATATTTAGACGCTACTTGTTACAGACATACTGTTTTTACCAATTTTTTTTTTCGCAGAATCAAAACTTCGCGCTAAGAATCGAGAAGGCCATCAGAACCTTTTTCGAGATGGGCCGGAAGAGAACAACTACTCGCTCTAGCATAGGAGTACAGGATATAGACTAATTTATGATTATATCTATTCACGTTCATAGAAATCGGAAGGAAAATAGGTTAGAGCCGTTACCGTTTCTCTGACACGTCTCCCAAATGCCCCCACTCATATTGTTTGCTTACTCAGCTATAAAAACAAAAAAAAAGATGACTTTTTAAAATTGTCCAGTAAAAACGCATTCTTTTGTAGTTTTTAGGTTGCGTAATACATTTCACAAAGCAACTGAGACTCCGCGAAATTGGCATATTCAGCTCACACAACTGCTGTATTTATTTATTTATTCGAAACTTTTATTAGGTGAGTTTGAACGAATTTGAATTTCTTCAGTGGATCGACGATATTCTATCGAAGGATGCAGCGCAATCGGGGGCGGAAGACGTCGATCAGGACATAATTGCGGCATTCAAGGTACCGTTAATAATTATTTGCTGTGTTTACAGCGCAAAACTTAAAACAATTTCGAATTGATCAGATAACCTTAAATGTCGTCTGCTAATCATAATCCGCCAAAAACCTTTCAATCAATATTGTTTCTGGCGGTCCCGACATACGGTCCAACACAACTGAAGACTTACACAGTCTGGCCAGATGAAAACAATAAAGTTCTGCTAAAATCTGTATTGTTTCGTATCTGTTTTAAGATATTTGATACGGATGGCGATGGTTTCATTACACGGGCAGAGCTTCGAAGAGCAATGGATACAATCGGAGAAAAGCTCACCGAAGAGGAGCTCGACGACATCCTTCGGCAAACGGATGCTGATCGAGATGGACGCATCGATTACCAAGGTACGACCAGTAATTGATAACCTTTGAAATATCCAGTCTAAGCAGATCTATGCATCCCTTATATTTGTTTCAGTTCTTCATTTATTTCTATAAGCCGTTGCTCTAGCACAAACACAAACTTTGCTGGATATACCTATTGTTCAAGCAGGAAAGTTCACTCAAGGAGAAAAGAAACGTCCTTTATTTGAGAAACGTGTGTTAGATTTGTTTCGCTAACAAAGACTACTTATTGTCATTACTATCAACTGGGATGAGGTGGACTACAGTTCGTGAATAAACCAAGTTTATATTTTTTTATTATAATTAGTGTTACAATCATCATGATCATTTTTCTACAAAAAAAAATGTGGAGATAGCTTGATGCACTCGCAGTTAATTAAGGACTCTTTTTGACTTTAAATCGTTCACATAAAAAACCTTAGAAACAGTTCAATGTGTCTGCCCTTTAGCTAGTCCAGAAATTTTTATTTGTTTTTCAGAGTTTGCGGCAGCTCTAATGTGAATATACGTAGGCGTCACATGCTCGCCCCCAAAAGATGAATGTGATCGCATCGATTGACGTCTCTTCGGGAAAATCCAGTGCATGTATTGTTTTTTTTTTTTTTTCTTTATAAATAGCGTCTTCGCACATATGTGTGCATCGTACACTAATCTCGCACGATGGTTTCAAGCGATTATTTCCGGACGACGGCCACGACAAGGAGAACGCGTTGTCAAATGTTGGTTCTGTAAAAAGCTTGCTAGACTCTAATCAGAGAGAAGATTTGCTTACCTTTTTTTTTGTTCTTGTTTTGATTTCTCGCAACATTTCTCCCACTTAATATATTTTTGATTTCATCTCCTGTTAAAGTTTCAAACTTGAGCAGATTTTTAGCGATTGTTCCAGACCTTTGCCTTTTCAGGCATGAAATATCCTTTGCCTTTCTACGGCATGAGGATGTTTACTTCCTCATCCATGAGTATCTTTATAGAATTTTCAGAAATGATATGAGAACGATGCACATTTTGTCTACGATTGTGATATGTCGGCCTTGTTTTGTCACTCATTCCGCATTTTGTTATCATAGTACGCGATAAATTAGGTGCTTGTTTTACACCCAAAGATGCACCGCTTGTGATTTTATCATAACCAAAAATTGTAACAGTTGCAAGTATCATTTCTACGCTGTGCTAAATGTTGCTCAACGTGTCATGCCGCTCTGAAGCGTCTCTGACAATGACTTAAATTTTAGTTGCCGTTGCTCCAGTTACTACAAATGAACTGGCCTGATATACTGTTAGTTCTGCTACAATGCGAAAATGTATGCAGTGCCCAGAATATGCAAAGACTCCACAAGGAACCTTGCCGCACAGATATTGACAAGTAAATTTAAAATATATAATGATATTAAAATTTATTTGAATTTTCCGTCCATACCCACGTATCCGAGACCAGACTTAGTTGCTGGAAGCACTTGAGGATCGGCTCAATCTAGCGGAGAGCTGTATCCTCAGATGACACTGACAGGCGAGAAGAAACATTATTACTGACTATTGGCTTCTTTAATAATATAGACAATTAAGATATCCTTGCTACAAGGGATGTCGTCAGTTATCACCTTCGTTCGTGTGGATCCTACGACGCTTAGAAATACGCCTGTGAAGTTATCGACAGAAGCCGGCGCATATCTATCGTTTGGCTGAAAATGGTTGTGAAAAATGACATTTTGGCGGCGAACTGATTTTGCTAATGGGCGTGTCGCTCTGTATACCATTGTTTAAATAGGGTCTAAGCTAGTTTTGCTTTCCATGACTAACAGCTAGTCGACTAGCTGTTAGATTCATTTAGTTCGATGCGTCGTAAACACAATGTTGAGGTTAAATTAATACGATGAATAATATAAAACCCGGTTAAACAAAAACATCTTTTTCTTTAGCATATGTGATTCGAAATTAACGTCTATAGGATATGCTTTGCGTACCTCTTACATCCAGGATAAGCAGCGTAACTATTGTGAGCGAGTCCGAACTGAGAAGGCGAGTGTGCACGGACATAATGCCACCCTGTATTTTTATGTGACCGTTTTTATAGGACCGTTACGTTTCCGCGCGAAAATTGCAGGGAATGGTGAAAATAGTAATATATCTTTGCGGCCAGTGGCCATAGACAGATTCGTGAATAAGGTTCAACCGGAATAATTTTAGCACTTGTCACTGGCCCTATGTACATACATATTTTTCAGCCATAGTTCGAAAGTGTTGTACATAGCAAAGTCTCTTAAGTGCTATGCAGACTCTGCCTAACAGCACAAATGAGGTCGTTTCAACACGGAAAGGTTAATACTGTTATCCGTTTGTACAGTGTCCCTACCTCCGGCGCCACCCTTCATTAGCTGTAGCCATTTGGGCAAGATTTAATTTCGAAAAATAGGTAACCGTAATGATGTATTGACGACAGATGGTAAATGCAGCATACAATGGTCTTCGCTGTAAAAATAAGGGCAATAATACTAGTAGTTTTGTGGCGAAACGGCTTGAGCGACGAAAAGTCTAGGCTTTTCGAGTTGGAGCCCCACTAGTAACGGATGCTGCATGACAGATGAAATTAAATTAGTAATAATAAATAGGGAAATAGTAATACTAGATTAATATTAATGTAACGGCGTTACTGGTGTAGACTTGCCGTGATTAAAACATATTTTGAGAAAAGATGCGCGTTTTTTTTGTTAATTTTCGTTTCGTTATCAGCAATGCTTTCAGTAGTTTAATTTATTAACAAATCAGTATCTCTTAGATAATGGAAACTTCGAGTAACTACGAAGCACTTACACCACCTTAATGTTTCGGGTTCTCCTGCAAAACAACGCTGCAACATTGTTCCATCGTAGTGCATATACAGTTGACGACAGAAAAAAACTAAAATGTGTATTTAAACAAAACTTGAACTTAGCATCGGAAGTCAAAGTAAGGCCAATTTTTCAAATAAGGTTCTATACAAAAATCAGACTGTCTGTATCTATCTAAATAAATAACTTGTACTTTAGAGATAATACTAAGATTACTACACAGTGGCCTTCCAGTGGAAACATGAACGATAAAAGCCGCGGAAAACCTTGGAAAAGGGAATCGATTATGTGTCAGCTCATCCACGTTCTGTGAACAAAAAGACAGACCTCATTGGGTATACAAGTGTTATAAGTTTTGCGTCCGGTGTTACCCGAGTTGAGCTTGCTTGCTCCAGGCTCTTAGTACGTAGCCAGATGTGCCTGCGCCGGTTCCTGTTAGACCCCTTTACGTGTCCGTGTGTTTAGTAGGTGGACACAGTATTATTGCACCGTCACCGACACGCATTCCATTGGCCGATGATAATCGACCTAGAAAAGGAGAATGACGTCACTGGGGCAGTCGTAAAAGAGATGTAATTTTGCAGTGGCTTGTAGGCGAGATAAAGATCTAAAACGGTGTCATGCATGACCAGTCGTGCTTCACTATTCCTGCAATATATTTTTTCTTTAATGCGATCTAGAAAGAAGAAGTAGGGTTAGTTTGAAAGGTCAAACCGTCAATCGTTTTATGCAAAAGTTTTTGTAGGGGTAAAACTTATCTTTCCACCAAAGCGCTCGCCCAAAGCTATCAATTGTCTTAAACTAGAAACTAAATTAAAAATATATATATATATTGTAAGACCTGTCTAATTAGAATTTTTATTTTTTACTTTTCAATAATTATGTATATGCAAATTGTACTTGCCAAGTTTATTTAGGGATATTTTTATAGTAGATTAGCCAATATGTGAATGTGCAATGCATGTGGAGGCGTATGTTCTGCGTATAAGGAGCTAAATTGCGGGAATTTTAGTAAAAATTTGTGCATTTAATGATGGTGCCGGCCATTCCAAAATTGCTGGCTCGTCTCCTTAGAAAAGGGAACAGACAAAGTATTATTAAGTAGGATTTTTGCCTATTAAATCCAGTTCGTATTGCCGCCGTTAAATATAGAGCGCACTGCCAAAATAATCAACTGTGCAGCAATAATAAAAAAAAAAATGTAACAAAAAAATTCCATCATTATCTCACCGACTTTATTTTATTACGAGTACTCATTAAAATATTATTTCCTGAAGTAGCATTTGAAGTCCGAAAAGTGAAGTTGGTGTTATCAACTCTCCACTATAGTTTCATAAACTTCCTTTTATTATATGAAATTTTTAAAGCATTCCTCCTTGAGGAAACATCTGAAGTTCAGAAAGCTAAGCAAGATTCATCCACTCACTTAATGTATTCTCACTACACGGATAGGTCTTATCCAATCTTGCCATATTTACAGTTCACGCTCAAAGGACTCAGTCACGGACAAATGCACTCAGGACATCGGCCCTTCTTATCAAGCCTTTTTGTGATGTAGCACCTTCCACGGCAAACGCATTCTGCCGGGAGATTCCTGTGAAACAATGCCAATAGTAATAATATGATAAGTTATGTCATGTCAAAGTATCGATTAATAAGACCCATAACTTTTTAGTGTCCGCATTTCCTTGCGCGGTGTCATCGTACAGTTTGTACGGGTTGAGTATTTCAGGTCCCGGCCAAGATCCCGGTAAAGCCAAATTAAGCTATTATAGTATTAAAGCAACGACAGTCAAATTCGCTGAAGGCGACATCGCTAGCTATAAAGAGTTATGTCAATTATTTCCTAACCATAGTAATAATCTAACACATTTAATAACTTAACTTACTTGCAGACAGGTACAATTTTTCCTGTAGGTCCCTGCTGTTCCAGAAAGCATCGACCCACGACACATTTGACAGGAATACAAGGAGTTATCGGCCTATACTCATGGTCATACGGATACGAACAATTTTTACTATGATAGAATTGCGTGGCCCCTCTAAGAGCAGTCCAGAAGTTCGAAGCGTTTGTTATTGGGTCCAAAAAGAAAGTCCCGCCTTCTGCTCGTCTTGTACGCCTCATTATTATGCAGAAAACTTTGAATATGATTCGCAAAAATTGATTCGTCAACTAAAGGGGATCAAGTAGGGACCCTCAAAGGTCCTTGCTTGGAAAATCTGCCAAGACACCGAGACTATATTAAATACCTCGAAATAGTGGAGATAGGACACATGTTTCTATTTTAATTAAGCCTGTACGAATAAAGGAAGTTGCTTATAGGAATCTAATTCAATTTGCCTTGGGTGTTGTGGCAAAGCTATATTATTTCACACGAAGAACATGGGAAAAGAGGAAAGAAAAATGTTTCGTTATTTCTAAGCTGGGTCATTGTAATCTTGGTTAATCTATTGATTGTAAGGAATACATTTTCGATCAGATACGTCTCAAGAAACGTAAACACTTACACAGTTCACAGTGAGCAGTATTTTTATTATTAGAAGAAATATTCGAAAAAAAAGGCTACAGGTCTTCGCTTTCGATATATTTATATATTAAACGATTATTACCAACGTAATTGACAAAAACAATATTAGAACTACACGAGAAATTATACAAGCTAGATAATAATAAACATATGATAAGATTATGACTGTATAGGCTGAAAGAGCGGCCAAAAAGAAAACCTTCCATAAATGGAT